AGGAGAGAGAGAGAGAGAGAGAGAGAGAGAGAGAGAGAGAGAGAGCGAGAGAGAGAGAGAGAGAATAAACAAATGTATTCCAAACACGTAATAAATACATTTATCTTGATACTTTTACTGTACTAAATAATACAGAATCTTAAAAATAAAAAAAAATAAAATAAAATTAGATTAGATTATTATTCAAATTTTTTTTTTTTTACTGTTAACTATAATTGGTCAATTACCATATCTCTATTAAAATAATATTTCTTTTCAATAATATATAAGAAATATATAAAGTAGGAGGAAAAATGCGGGCGAGGACTGTAATATTGATTTTTGCAAGTTTATGAATAAAATAAGCAGTTTATCTGACGTTGAGCGACCTAGGGAAAGAGATGAAAGAGTGTGGGGATATAAAGACAGGCGAAATGACCGAGTATATGTATTAGGGTATAAATGTATGTATAATAGTATGTGTGCATGGTGTCCCGAGAGATCACGCGAAGTGGCGTTGCCCATGGTGAACAGATAGCAGCAAGCTGCAGAGTATGTATTATATATATATATATATATATATGTATGTAGTAAGAGCTTTTACTTGGTGTTAGTGTTCGATGTGTGTCTGTGTAAGCTTGATAGTTTCTTGCGTATAGAACACAGGGTATAACACGGTCGCGTGACAAAGTATTTTGTGGCAGACACGACACATTCTGTGCACGTTTCGTTGCTCGGCACACGTTTCTCGCCTTCGGACACCTTTATCACCCTTCTTGCTACTACCTCGACCTTCTCTCTTTTTTTTCTTTTATTTTATTTCCCCCCCCTCCTATTTTCGTCCTTACAGGTACGGACATGTACCATCGATTTCAGTTTTTGGTATCACCAATATCAGGTTCACTATTCGATATATCTATACGCATAGAAAGAGATCCTTCTTTATCATCCTTTGCAATTCTTGAATATACACTACTCGTTTTCATAGTATTACTCTAAATGGTAAAAGGATACTATTTTACTATAAAACTTACTCCTTTTGAAATTCTATACTTTGGTAGATCGAAATTCAGTCTAACGTAGAAATTTTCAATGAAGTTCATTTAATAATCGATTATTGCAGCTGAAATATGTAACATATAATAGCAATATTCTTGAAGTAACTTTGTTGTTGTTGCTGTTGTTGGTTTTACTTGTCGCTTGATATACGTAAATATGAAATTGTATTATTTAACGTGTAGATAGCTCAAAGAGAGTAAATCATTAGATAATTATCATTTGTTTTTCTCGGATGTTTTTGCAATAGTAAAGATAACTTTTTCTAAAAAGTCTGACTCAAGTTCGTTGTACAAAGATCGCGTATGCGCTGATCGGTGCAACCTGGAGCCACGCCTGCAGTACTTAGCGTGCGAGTTCGTAATATTTTTCTTCCCCTCGTTTTTGCTGTCGGTATCATACGTTGTCAAGGAGCAATAATGCGATGCAACGTGCACGATGGATATATATATATA